GGTGCTTATAAATATATGAGATGGGTAGACATCTTCAACTTGCAGACTGGGCCACCTAGTCTGGTTGACCAATGGGTTAGGTTTATCAGATAAGATCGCAACCAAGTGGTTTAGACCCTGAGCCTTGCATTTTAGACCTATTGGAAGATAGCTACAGTCACAAATTAATACCTGCAACTTATCTCTTAATCTCAACAACTTTATCTACACAATGTATTGTAATGAAATATATCCTTTAATAAAAATTATTTTTTTATTACGATTTAACATAACATTATGTATGGCACAATTGTATTTACAAAATTCACTTGCATACAACTTCCACTTCAACAGATGGACAGAGGTCTATTTTAATTTCCAAGGGAATTTTCAACCATAAGAAAATATTCAAACATGTTAACAATCTTTAAATAGAACACAATGCATACACAATTATTACCAAAATTAATATATCTGAATCACAAATCTTTTTTTTTACTATAATTTGATTTAAAATTTCTATTAGTTTACAATAAATCTATTAATTTAGAGCTTGATTAACTATTTAATATCCCAACTCTCCTATTGTGGTATGGAACCTTGTGCTAAAATTTCTTACACATCCATACACTTATACTAAAGTTATTGTCTGTGAACCAATTTATTTTCCATGAACCAGTGATGTAAACCACAAAAATAGTTCTCTAAAATTAGATATGATTAATTGTGCAATAATAACTCTGCACTTATATTCTGAGCAAATATGTAATAATAGCATAGTTTCTGTCACAGAATGCATGTGGTATAAGTTCTTGAATAATTCTAAAATTACATTTACCAAGTATGGTCCAATATTCAAATTCTAAAAACATGGTTGGATTCAGCATATCAAATAACCACATTGTTTTTTTTTTTTTTTTTTTTTTGTTTGTTTTATTGTTAAAATCAAACGAAGTTTTATTTTGGATAATTTGGATTTTTATTGGGTCCACTTTGAAAAACGGACCAAAAATCAAATATTTACAACACTGTTAGATTGTACACACTAAAGAACACCAATGATTCAATTTTTAAAGAAATCAAACAAAGTTTAATTTTAGACCCAATTTTAGACAAACTTTGAAAATCAAGCACAAAATCAAAAAAATTAAAACATTGTTGGAAATACCATATCAAATATCACAAACAATTTAATTTTTAATGAAATCAAACAATGTTCAATTTTGGACCCTAATTTAGTCCATCTTAAATACTGTGCTCAAAACCAAATATCATAATACACAATTAGATTCAACATATCAAAGAAATCCAACCATTCTTTTTTCTTTAAAATCAAACAAAGTTTATTTTTGGACCCTTTGGACCTTAATATTTGCCGACCATGCCCCAAATTCAAAAATCTAAATACACGCTTAGATTCAGCATATCAAAGAAACCCAAGAATTCTTTTTTTAATAAAAAAATACCAGTTGTATGTTGGACCCTTTGGACCTTAATGTGGACCAATTTGAAGACAGGCCTCAAAATTAAATTCTAAATACACAATTAGATCCAGCATATCAAGGAACACCAATAATTTAATTTGTAAAGAATTCAAACAAAATTTCATTTTGGACCCTTTGGACCTTAATACGACTCATTTCAAAAACAGACCCTAAAATCCCAATATTAAATACCCAAATAGATTCAGCATATTAAAGACTCCCAAGAATTCAAGACTTTTGAATTATGCTCAATTGAAATTGCTAAAAAAAATAAGCAATTTATACAAAGTATTGTTTTTGGCCCCTTTTAACTAAACCCCTAAAATCAATCCCAAACTTTATTTTATGGTATAACACCTTGTGGCACAATTAAATAGCAATATATAGACTTGTACTCAAGTTATTGTCAAGAAATCAGAAAATCCTAGTTTTGTTGCCCCTTTTTAGCCTCTTATTATTGAACGGTTTCAACCATGACCTCTACAATCAATCCCAAATTTTTTTTAAAGTATGAAACCTTGTAGTAAAATTTCATAGAAATTCAAACTCTAATACACAAATTAGTGCCCTGAAACATGAAAAATGCTTCTTTTTGACCCCTTTTTGGTCCTTAATTAGTACAACAAACCCACTTAAATAAATTCCAACCTTCCTATTGTGACATGGAACCTTGTGCTTAAATTTAATACAGATCTACTCAGTTATACTCAAGTTATTGTCGTTGAACCAGACAAATAAATGTTTTTGTTAGGCCCTTTTGTACTCCTACTTCCTAAAGAGCTGCTTTAAAAAAAAACAAAAATAAACCCCAACCTTCCTATTGTGGTATGGAACCTTGTGCTAAAATTTAGCGCTTATACTCAAGTCAAGTTGTTGCCTGCAAACCAGAAAAGTTGTTTTCGGCCCCTTTTCGATCCCTAATCAAAACGATATGGGCCATGACCTTCCAAAAATCATTCCAAACTTTCCTTTTGAAGTATTGAACCTTGTGGTAAAATTCATAGAAATCTGTACTCTTATACACCAGTTATTGTCCTGAAACATGCAAAATGCTTGTTGTTTGTCCCTTTTTGGCCCTTAATTCCTAAACAGTTACGACAATAACCCCCAAAATAAATCCCAACATTCCTATTGTGGTATGGAACCTTGTGTTAAAATTTAACAGAGATCCATACACTTATACTCAAGTTATTGTCTGTGAACCAGACAAAAAAATAGTTTTTGTTAGACCCTTTTTGACCCCTTATTCCTTGACAGCAATGACAATAACCCCCAAAATTAAACCAAAACTTCATATTGTGGTGTGGAACCTTGTGTTAAAACATCGACCCAATAAATATCTCTTGTACTCATGTTATTGTCTTAAAACCAGACCAATAATTGTTTTAGGCCACTTTCTGGACCCTAATTACAAAACCGCTGAGACAATAACCCCCAAAATCAATCCCAACCCTCCTATTATTAAATGGAACTTTGTACTAAAATTTCTTACACATCCATACACTTACACTAAAGTTATTGTCTGCGAACCAATGTATTTTCCATGAACCAGTAAAACGGACCTTTTTTGGCCTCTAATTACAAAACCGCAAGGACAATAGCCCCTCACAACAATCCCAATCATTTTTTAGTGGTATGGACCCGTGTGCTTAAATTTTATAGAGATCCATGAACTGACACTTAAGTTATTATTTGCGAACCAAAATGTCGTCAGACGCAGACGCAGACAACATCATAACATAATACTACAGCAAATAAATTTACGGTCGTATAAAAATGAGTGGTGCTTATAGTGGTTTTTCTACGCAAAATGGAAGTATATTAAAACTCGAGTTCAGTACAATATAAATGCAGGGGATAGTAATAAACAGTACTAAGGTAAGTTTGAATCCATACCAACTCGCCCCATTGCCAAATCGCCCCAGACATACGCACCCAAGTAATAACAAAGAGTTAAATCCCATTTAAAAGGGTGCTTTTACCTCTACGAACCCACAGCTAACACCGAGACAAGAAAAGAAAAGAAAAGAAAGCATTAAAAAGGTGCAACGTATAAAAAGTGAATAAGGAACGAATAAGTAGCGAATAAGTAACAGGGTATAGTCGAGCGTTGAAACGGGTACATACGCGCTAATAGGGTTATTTCACCTCTGCGAACCCACAGCTAACACCAGAGACATGAAAATAAAAGAAACGAAAATATTAAAAAGGTGCAACGTATAAAAAGTGAATAAGGAACGAATAAGTGACAGTGTATCAGTCCAGCGCTGAAACGGGTACACCTGTGCTAAAAGGGTTATTTCCCATCTACAACCCCACAGCTAACATCAGAGACAAGAAAATAAAAGATACAACGTATACAAAGCGAATAAGTTACGAATAAGAAACAGGGTATCAGTTGAGCGCAGAAACGGCACAAACGCGCTAATAATGTAATTTCACTTCTAAGAACCCATAGCTAAAACAAGATACAAGAAGATAATTGAAATGATTTTTTTTTAAATGTGCAACGTATAACAAATGTATTACAAACGAATAAGGTACGATTAACTAACAGGGTATCAGTTGGGCGCTGAAACGGGTACATACGCGCTAATAGGGTCATTTCCCATCTACAAACCCACAGCTAACACCAGAGACAAGAAAATAAAAGAAAAGAAAGCATTAAAAAGATGCAACGTATAAAACGTGAATAAGGAACGAATAAGTAACAGGGTATCAGTCGAGCGCTAAAACGGATACATACGCGCTAATAGGGTCATTTCTCATGTACAAACCCACAGCTAACACCAGAGACAATAAAATAAAAGAACAGAAAGCATTAAAAAGATGCAACGTAAAAAAGCGAATAAGGAACGAGTAAGTAAGAGGGTATCAGTCGAGCGAAAAAACGGGTACATACGCGCTAATAGGATAATTTCACCGCTACGAACCACGAACTTACAGCAGAGACATGAAAATAAAAGAAAAAAAAGTATTAAAAAGGTGCAACGTATGAAAAGCGATTAAGAAACGAATAAGTAACAGGGTAACGGTCCAGCGCAAAAATGGTAACATGCGCGCTTAAAGGGTAATTTCACCTCTACGAATCACAAACTAACACCAGAGATAAAAAAGAAAAGAAAAGAAAGCATTTAAAAGATGCAACGCATAAAAAGCGAATGAGGAACGAATAAGAAACAAGGTATCAGTCGAGCGCAGAAACGGTACCACGCGATAATAGTGTAATTTCACCTCTTCGAACCAAGAACCAATACCAGAGACACGAAAATAAAGCAGTTAAAACGTGCAACGTTTCGATTTCGAATAAGGAACAAATAAGTAGCGAATAAGTAACAGGGTATCAGTACAGCGCGGAAACAGGTACACATGCGCTAATATGGTAAGTTCTTATTGCGGTTTAAAGCCATATGCCTTACCTTTTTTTTAGATTCTTTTAAAACGTTGACAACATTATGATGACGGAATAATTCCAAATATATTGTATACTCATAATGCATGTACTCTATAATTTCGTTAACATGTACAACTACTTACCTAAAATGGATAACCTTGAAACAGTTAATATTCTTATTGACAAATACACTAAAAAATAAACAGAAAAAATTAGAAAAGTTATTTACAATAAGATTTACTTTACGTAGACGGAAATCGATAACAACAGTTTTATTGTCGAAAGAGAAAAATCTTAGTTGACAGGAATGATTTCTTATCCAATGTGTTTGATTGTTTCATGGTCTAAATTTTTACGCTACGCATACATATCGTATAACATTCGTCATATTTGTTTTATTCGTATGGAACTATCTACAGCTTGATATTCTTAATAGACTACCACTGAAACATTGTCTTGACCTCTATATGTCTTTTATTTTTCGTTGTTAGATTACTCTTATCATAGACGCTTAACCAACAACTCCGTTTACTTAAATACGTCAATGGAAATTACACCTTTAAAACACAACTAGATGTCAAAATATGTTGTCTTTTCAATAGGTTCTACAGTAGAGTCTACAGAAATATAGAACCAAAAAATCTATCAAATACCTGCTTTTATAAATAAGTGGCGTGTGAAGTCGACATTGTCTGTAATGATAAAGTTGCATTACTGTTTGGGCATAACCACTGTTTACGTTTACTCATTATTTAAAATGAAAATACACACAATAAAATCGAATGCTTTTCAATCTGATTAAAGCAATTTAACATAAAAATGAACATGTAATGATAATTACGTCGATAGTATTGTACCGATTTTCAAATCTCGTCAATTGGTTAAAAAGAGACAAATCAAGGTAACAAATAAAAACCGAGGGCATCGCATGAACTCCAAAAAGGGCGAGATCAGGTGCGTCGACATGATACGCGTTTTCTGCTACGCATGTATCAACCACCGAGTAAATTCACACTCAGTCAAAATGTCACAATTGGGACTAAAATGTAAGAGATAAGAATGTCTGGGCATTTTGAATGTCCCTCATAACATATTTAAATTTGTATTCAACCATTGTGACATTTGATACAATACAATCATTTAAGAGCTGCTTGTAATAGATACGAAAAAGATTAACAATCATGATAATAGTGATCATTGTATTCATATTTTTCACAAATATTATCAACGCAAGAATTTATAAAAAAAACACCAATTTTCCTAAGTATGAATTTTTAGAATATAATGAGGGAAAAAGGAGAAAATCATCAAAGGTTATCAGTAGTAAAAAGAAATCAACGAAAATACAAGCCATAGTCTGTAAATTATTCGCAAAAACTAATAATTGATCTACGAGACTCCAACAGAACCGGCAATGAATTCAGATACACACGCATTATTTTCACCAAGCAATACATTTTCATGAATGGTGCTGAAGGTTAAGTATTTTTTTTATTTAAATTATTTCATCATACAAATTTATTGTCCGCCAAACACGTAAGAAGACTTACGGAGATTTGATACCTCTTTGAAAGAGCAACTTGAAAGAACAAAATTAAAATATCCCACAAAACTAGTATTAAACAAGATGCCAGTTCTAAATCGCCACGTTTTTAGAAAAGCTAGTGGTTAAATGTATCAGAAACTGCACCAGATACGTAAATCCGGCAATGGACGTCTTTGGAGTTCATTAATACAAGTGGATAGGGAAAAGAGACTCAACCTTAATTAAGGGTCATACATTTATGTAGTTAAATTAAAATAAGGCATGTTTGACGTGCGCTTGGTAGAATAGAGGATGGAAATGCACATGCGAGTATGCGAGTATGAGCTTTGCTTGTATTATGCATGATTGTTAATAAATGTCTTCGTCAACTTTGTGCATTTAAAAATCACTTGAGTATATGAAAGTGAAGAATGGTTCAAAATGGGGTAATTCACCACATGTACTTAATCTTCTTTTTATCTACTTAGTAAACAACGTTTGAGATCAACAGCTATTTACGAAGTTTTCATCTTACCTGAACAACTTTGATTTTAATGTACAATAATAACTGTTTGATCTATTTTATTGGGCCAACATGTCAGATACATTGTTGATTGTATTGAATGTAATGTATACAAAAAAAAAAACGACGAAGAAAATGGGTATTTACAGATGGGCGCTGGCCTGACTTGTACACTAAGTGTACTAGTATAGAAAAAGATATATGGAATACAAACAATAATGTTCTCCTCTGCCATTCAATTCTTTATTGTTGTTACCAGTCATACAATATGTTAAAACAATAGGAAAGCAGACCTTGTCTGATCTTTAGACTTTAGTGTGAACTTGTAGAAAGTAAAAATTAAAGAGAGGTGGTATGGTTGCCGATGAGACAACTATTCAGCGTCCAACTGAAGCGTATTTAAACTATACTAAATTAATTCACCTCACGAATTTACAGGCTTCAGACTTGGGACATGTATATACAAAATGTGACAGGGTTATCATGGTTATACAGTTTGGATTTGCATGGCGGGTGATGTATGGATTTGTTGGATTTGAGCATAGGTGGACTAGTGCAGCCTATAACTTATAATAATAAACACTCCATCAATCATTGATAATTATAACAACTGTATAATCTACATGCAACTGTACAATCTGCTTTAAACAATTCACATAAAACGTTACGTTATGATACACAGTTGAGAGGTAAAATCACTTATCAACATTAAGTTTCTTTCAACTTTCGGGAAGTAGTTGTATAGTTTCTTTCAACTTTTTGAAACCATTATCAATTGATTGAAATTCCCCTATTTGTTTCTACTCCACAATCATATTTAGTTTAGCTTAAAACTTATTAATTCATGAGATATTGTTTTCGCTTAATTTCTTTTTTCGATATATATAATATGTATCATTAGATAGTTGGATATCCAGACTTTTTTTCTAGTCTCAACATTTGTTTTCTTTTCTAACCTTCACCAGCCTATTTATCTAGTGGAACAGGTACTGCATACCCTTAAATGCAACAAAGGTTAACCATAGGTTTGAGCATAACAGTTGCTGTTATCTCAGTTTCCTACGTCTGGGCAGGCACATACAGAATATGGTGGGATTAATCATGTGTGTGGGCGCTTGACCCTCCCCTAACCTGTGACAGTGGTGTAACAGTGCAAGATAAGAACAAACTGTAATCATCAGTTGCAATTGGATTTTCTCTTTCTTTTTCATGTGACATTACTTAAAAAACCCAAAGCCTCATATATCTTGTAACATGAAAAAACCGAAATGTAATTTTCAATATGTAGGGCAAACTGGATGTGAATTTTTCAAACGAACACAAGAACATCTATACCGCTTCCGCAGACCTAAGAAATTCAAAAGTTTAATGTACAAACATTAAGAAAAACACAAACACAATATTAAATTTATAAAATTCCAACCACTCCAAACCGTCCAAAAACAACCAGGACAATCACATAAACAGTTTGAAGATTCCCTTAAACTTTGCGAATTGATTGGATTAGACGACTACAGACAGCGTATCCCCTAGGTCTAAATGACAATATTATGGGTTAAGGACACATATCTAAATATTCCTCTATTGATATCGTGATTATTGTTGATAAAGGACAACGCAATCATAGGTCTTATGGCAAACGCTTTAACCGCAATCAACGAAATAAACTTCGTTCTAAAAAGTAAAAATAACAAAAAATACCGAACTCGAAGAAAAATTCAAAACGGAAAGTCCCTTATCAAATGGCAAGATTAAAAGCTCAAACACATCAAACGAATGGAAAACAACTGTCATATTCCTGACTTGGTACAGGCATTTCCTTATGTAGAAAATGGTGGATAAAACCTGGTTTTATAGCTAGTTAAACCTCTCACTTGTATAACAGTCGTATAAAATTCCATTATATTGACAACAATGTGTGAACAAAAAAAAACAGACATATTAGGTAAAAATGTCAAAAATAGGGGTACATTTAACACTTGATGATTATTTTATCTATATTTAAAAACAAGAGTAGACATCAATTATTATGTAAACTGGGTCAAATACCAATTAGTAAATTACATAATATTTATAACGAGTGTGATACATTATCGTTTTTCACATATCGAATTATTACAGCCTTTTGTCACCATAGACTGTTCCCTCAAATTGACAAACCTGAACATCATAAAAAGTATTTCATAAAAATAAGTTACATTAATAGAGGTATTGATTTTATTAATTTGTCTAGTATTTTGCATGACTCTACCTTTCAAAACTTTATTCCTCCATATTTTGATAACATAGAGCCACCTATAATTTCTCATTCTCATTCGACATGAGACTGTGAAACATAAGAGTTTAGATATGATCCCTATGGCCATGTAATTACAGGGGACCTCAATATCGTCCAAGACCGAGAGGTTATAAACTTTCTGAAAATAGGACCAAAATATCGTCCACCGTCGAAAATAAATTGGGAAGAGTGTCTACAAGTTATTAAAGATGCCCTTTCATCCTATTGTAAAAAATGGTGTAAACGGAAGAAATTGGACAAATAGTCACTTGATTCCTATTTGAATAAATGTCTGAATATTGTCGATATTCGCATATCACATTCCGAAAATAATTTAGAAATAAATAAAAGAATAAATAAAACGCCCATTTCTAGGATTAAAAACAAAATTCAAGTACTCGCAAAGCGTTTTGTGTTCGTATCGGCCGACAAAGCAGCCAACAATGTGGTGGTGGTATAACGTAAATACTATACGGAAGTCCTTAAGTATGAATCAATACATTCAACTACATTCAAGGCCATACGCTCCACAGAGAGTCCTATAGTAAATAATCATGTAACAACCACAGCTCAGCTTAAATGCCTCTTCTGAACATTAGAAGGTCCCAACTATGTATTGGTTTCCTAAACTACACAAAAATTCCGTAAAATATAGTTTCAACTTGGCCGCTAGTCAGTGTTCTACTACTATAATTTCGCAAAAATGTACGACAAAAGGGATGTTTTTTCTTTCCCTATTGTTAATATTCCTTTTTTTGGACGGTGATGTTCCTCTGGCACCATCTTACGGTGTTTATATATACTAACTCTTTTGGTATGCCCGTGTTTATAGTGGCGTTTTGGATTTAGTTTAAGAGCGTAATCT